AAATCATGAAAAATTTCTTGGTTATATTAGAAGCAGTGAATTTAACAATGAATTTGACAACTTGATTTACTAATGAGTATGGGGTGTWTGTTCATTTTCATTCACTGCCCAATTAATTTTTGTTTTTACTTTGTTGCAATTGTTTTTTCAAGATTCTAAGGAGAAAGTCAAGGGCTTAAAAGAAAAAAGCTCTAAGCCAGGCAGCAAGGCTACGGTAGAAAAAGRAAAGAAAATGTCTGACTCTTCAGCTACAAGCACAGCTTCAGATGCACCATCCAATGAACATGAAACTGTGCAAAATGTTTTACCAGAGGATTCTGATTTTGTTCAAAGAGCTAAAAAAGAATTATCAAAAATCTCACAGGATTTAAAAGACATCAAAGTCAGAAATCAGGAATTATCAACAAGAGAGGAAAGTAACACTAAAACTGATACTGAAACTGAAAAAGAGAAAAATAAAATTGGCGTAGAAGAAGAAAAATCTTTAGCTGAAAAAACYTTTTTACTTTCTGAAGATGGACACACTTTGACTTTACCCTCAAGRTATCGAAAACTCAAAGYATCTCATTRCAAGMTYRTTTCCAAGTTGAWTAAAGMTTCTGGAACTACTGATCAATCAGAGAGWTTTGTGAGAAGACTTGAAAGTCAGTTTGATTTCAGTGARGCTCCTGMTGAGCTTGTACAAGACAGGATCAAGGTTTTAACAGAGGCTCAGAAAAAACTGTTAGTTTATTTACAATGGATAACAGAAAGGAGTTTCGATGAAAGTGAAACTTTCTCATGGCAAAATGTCTATAAATCTTATAGACATTGGCAGGTTTTGCTGGGGAAATTTCGGGAATTACAGAAAGGAACACARGAATTACTTACAGGTGAGAAAGGATATTTTTTATGGCTCTTTTTAAAGAAAAAAAAAAGTAATAGATAAAACATGAGCAAGTGATCTTTATGAGAATCAGTAAGTGAGGTGTTACAGATCTCCTGTTTACAATATTTTATCTTTTATTTATATTTTATTTTTTAAAATTAACAAACATCTGGCCAGGCTCTTTTTCTTTTTTAGAGAATTTTCATGTGACCAAATTGATTGATCATCATTGGATTTCTAGCTCTTGAATTATTATGTAATATTTACAATATGAGTGGCCGTTTTGTATGGGATTTTACAATCTCGAGCCGAACCGAGAGATTGTAAAGCCCTACAACACAGACGCGAGTGTTGTAWATGACTTGTGAAATGTTTAGGTGTATACATTCATAATCTACTAAAAACTTAAAAGATAGAATTGAATTTGGCTGAGAAAATTAGATTTGAAGTTTATGCAAATCAAGACAGTTTTGTATCAAATATTATAAAACTTATTAATAATGCATAAGCTATTGCTCCAATAAGGGCTGACCATTTAATCAGGTGATTGACCTTGTAAATCTGATACAACCACTAGTGTTGTATCAGATTTACAACACTGTCGTCACCATTGAGACAACCCAACACTAGCAAAGGTCTCAGTTTTAGTGTCGCATCATAGACCTTCACTAGGTTTTGAAGCAATCAAAGACGGATAACAGAACTCGCTTATGCAACAGATGGCTTACTTTCCATGTGGGATGGATAATTATTCAAAATKTTCTGTGTTGCAGTAAATTGCGCATGCTTAATAGGGACTAAACTCAGCAGTTACCTTATTTGTCATTTTTCGTCATTTATCTCACTGTAATTCATGTTAATTTGTGTTGGAGTTTTATAAGTCGTTTTCAACAACATTTTCAACAACATTTTCGCGTACTATACTTACAACACTCTTCACGGTTGTGATTTCTATTGTGTTTTCCTCATTAATTATTCATGAGTTTTACAAATGATGATAATAATCATTAGGATGATGACAACGATGTAGGTTGTATAACAGTGTAACAATGCCCCCCAAGAGAGGGAAGATGGTTATGTCTAATTGCAACCATTTCCATATTTTATGAAAGGATATTTCTAAGACAAAAGGGAGAGAGAGTTTACAACCTGAATGATCTTTTGTCTAAAGATAAACATGAATTTCCTTTCCAATTACAGTTCAAATTTCCTTCAAACAAATATTCAATTTTCCTTATAAAAAATGTTCTAATTACCTAAACCAAATGCTCTATTTCCCCATGGCACTGTGGTATGCATTGCATTGGTCACTATTAATAACGTACTTGAGGAACTCCCACAATCGTCAAATTCCGAGGCCACTTCAACACACTGGTCGACCAAACTCAAACAAGTATTTATACAGCTCCTATATTCTATCATTTAACAAATTTTAACATCAAGTTCACTTACCATAAATCTGTAAAGTAATCAGTTCTTAGAAGAATGAAATTGGAGAGCGGATGATTTTAACGTCATTAAATATTGGATTCCCTGTGCTATCGTATAAACGATAAAAACAAAATATTAAAAAAAACACTTTTATTCAGAGACAAATTATTTTAACACTGAATTAATTGAGATTGCCTTGGGGAGTCATTTCCACTCGAGGTTATTTATTCCATGTGCAAGACATGAGGTACTTAGTCATCGTACTCATGTTTACATGGAGTATTTCACGCTTATGACGTAATCACGTCTATAATTGAGAACGCGGTGACAGATTTTAATCGACAAACCAACTGGTGACGGATTTATGTCAAATTTATTGGCTTTAGAGATTATTTTTCTGATTTTCCTGATTTGAACAAATCTTTGACTTAAATTCAGGAATTCAAGTTACCCGTCATGGATTAAAATAAATCCTTATTTTGGAAATGTGTATTTTTTTTTTTATTGTGGCCAGTGGATTTTCCTTGGTTGAGTGAATAATATTTGTCGTATTTTTCTAATCAAATCAGTGCGTTGATATTCCAAACTCATTTGGTGCTTAAAATCCCATGTGGGCTCGGTTTGTTTTAATCTGTCTTTCCCTAGAAATTAACAGGTATTGTATTGTGATGAGAAATACAATCAAGCTGTACCGACACGTTTCGTTGTTGYTGAGATTAATATATGCGCATTAATTATCACTGTCATGTTTGGCCAAACATATCGCAGCCCCCTGTTCTCGCTTAAAACAAAGTTTATGCTGGGCTAGAGCCATTACACGATGAACTTTGGATGTTTACAAATATGTGGCCGTGAGGAGGATGGGCTTTAGTCTTCAGACTTCAATTATAGCCAAAAACAACAATTTTGTCGACATATGTCCCACTTAGATATCGAGTTCGTCTGAAGATCTTCTTTCTGGTTAAACATATCGTGGATAAAAGTTGAAACATTTGTTTCATAACATTGCTAATAGAATCTAGTAGATTCGATCGCTATGGATATCTTCTTAGAAAATGACTACGGGTTCAATTTTGGTGAAGAACTCAACAAAATTCGCCATGAACGAATGTTTTGTGATGTGACTTTGGTCGTCGAGGGCAAGCAGTTTCACGCTCACAGAATTGTCCTCGCGGCGAGAAGCAAGTACTTTTACGGCGTGTTTACTAGTGATATGTTGGAGAAAAGATCAAGGACAGTTAGCCTTGGTGAGTTGAGTGCTTCGGCTATGAACTCGCTCCTAGACTACATTTACACTGGCGATGTTGAGGTAACTGAAGAGAACGCAGAGGAACTGGTCGTAGCAGCAAATTATTTACTTTTACCGAAACTTAAAAACCTCGCGGGAAAATTCCTAGAGAGGGAGATGATGGCCTCAAACTGTGTTTACTTTTTCAAATTCGCCGAGCAGTACAACTGCAAGGAACTGAAGCACTATGCAAGTCAAATGATTGTCAGAAATTTTGGAATGATCGGTCATTCGAAAGACTTTATGCAGCTTGGGGTCAAAAATTTAGAAGAGTTGATCGCAGGGGATGACGTTGTTGTACGATCAGAGGAGGAAATATTCGAGGCAATTTTGAAGTGGATTCACGAAGACCCAGACAAACGAGAGGAATACTTCCCGATTCTCTTCCGTCACGTTCGAGTGACCTCGGTGTCACAAAGTTACTTATTYACTAACGTTGCGACCAATTGTTACGTCAAGAATAACCCTGAATGTTTGGCGCGCATAGTGGAAGCTAACAAAATGCTGATAATCGGAGACGAACTGCTACTAGACAAGCCTAGAAAGTGCTTAGAAACGCACGTGGACGYCATAGTCACATGCGGCGGGTTGTCTCCAGACACACTTGTTCGTGACACCACTTATTGTTACGTTCCAAGCGAGACCACGTGGTATGAACTCGCCCCGATGAGCATGAAGCGATGCCGTCACGGATTAGTCGCCTGCTCTGGTTTCTTATACGCAATTGGCGGGAAAGACGAAGCMTTTCATAAAAGTGTAGAACGCTTCGATCCCAGGACTAACAACTGGACGACTGTAGCGCCTTTAAAGCGATGCGTCAAGCTTGTGGGCGCGGCAGCTCTCAACGCGAGCATCTATCTAGTAGGTGGTATTGAGTTCACAGCTGAAGAAGGTCGACGWMGATGCGATGCGGTGCAGAAGTACGATCCTGTCACCAATACGTGGTCGCTTGTGGCGCCCATACCCAGTCGTAGATCAAGCGTCTGCTGCGTCAGCGATTCGCGGTTTGTGTACTCAATCGGTGGACTCGGGGACGACGGATTTTTGGACTCYCTAGAACGATATGATCCTAAGCTCAATGCATGGCGTCAACTTGCGCCCATGGCGGAGAAACGTGGATGTGCATGTGGAGTGCATTTGAACGAAAAAATCTACGTGTTTGGCGGGACGGTTGACGCSTTCTCACGCCAATCAAAACGCTCTTGTGAACTGTACGACGTTGCTAGTGACCAGTGGCATTCCATGCCGCCCATGCGCATCCCAAGATTCCATGCTGGCGCGGCKTTGCTAAGAGGCTGTGTGTATATCATGGGWGGGATTGGTATTGACAACTCGAATCCAGAAGGCAAGAAAGTTGTCGAGTGTTATAACATTAAGTTAAAGAAATGGGAGAAAGARCACACGATYCCTTACGAGGAGACGTATCTACGCAGTGTACCAGTGAGTCTGTACAAAGGACTGGTGAGAACTCTTCATAAAGTAGGCTCTAGAGCAAGTATGTCATCCTGAGGAGCTGTTTGTTTCGTCTTATTGAACCTTTTATCTTCCTCGTGCCCAACTCTTTAAATTCTACACCGTTTAGAATGAGGAAAGCCWGGGTATGGGATGGGTAAGAATAAAAGGAAAAGATAATGATATATTTTAGAAAGAGTATCAAAATGTAAAGAGAACTTGACAAATGAGTACAAGCACTTAAAAGGCCATGACCAACCGGCATCCCTTGCGAACGTTTAGTCTATGTCTAAAAATAGAAGTACACCATAATGTAAGCAAAAACTACTTATTATCCCTTTATGCTGTATGAATGGAGTTATTTTAAGATTCGACCTGAAAACCGACGGAGGGAAATGGATTGCGAATTAATATTTGAAGTCATCTCATTTTCCATATTTGAAAAAGTCTATAAACACGACCGCACTGAACGCCGGTTGACCGTGGTCCTTAAAGTGTGCAACATATATAAATAGTACAAAATAAAATACCGCAGACACTAGAGTGTTTTAAAAATCGCTGAATGTTGGAATACCTCCGTATATTTTCTATTTTTCCTGCCCTCGCCGGGTCTCCCTTCTCTCAAAGTTGTGTTTTCGAGAGCACACATAACTTTTGGATTCTGTATGAGTGCTAACAGCATTGTTTTTGGCGAGGGGAGGGTGTAGAGAACATGTTTTGTTGAACTGACCTGAAGGGTGCAGTTATTCTCAACCTTTTTGTCTAGGGTTGTAGGTTAAAACCAGATAAAATGTTTATGGTAAATAAGCAGAATGTAACACACATTTGTCGTAACACACAGACAAGAGGCTAGTCAAGTGTAGTTCGRTGACAAATATAGAATAGATTTAAATCTAAATCCTTTATAAAATTATGATACGAATCTTRTTATACTTCTCATGAAGAAGCGATTGTCAATAAATCGAAGAAAGAATCAGCAGAATCGTTCATTGGTTATTAGAAATCTCACATCAGTAMGCACAGTGGAAAAWGAAGATTGTAGAAATGAACAGGGGTTGAATTGCAAGACAWKGAAAACTAACCAGGAAGACCGACTAATATTCCTCCTATAACATTMTTGTGCTCTATCCAAGAGCGAATCCAGAGGAGGTGATGAGGGTGGCTATTCCCCCTCCCAACACACCCACAGCCTCCCGTTTTAGGGTRCACAAAATTTAGAAACAGGAACCTATGAACAAAGAGATAAAAGAATAAATGAAATCTGAATGGGATTCATGCTCATTTAGACAACAAAAGCAGCGGTCATCTAAAAGAATTTTCATCCGCAGTCCTAATAAATTCCTAATTCTTTTTTTTTCTTCAGTGAGACATACCCCTTTGTAACGTTCTAAAATTCCCTATTATATCGYTGGTGAGAATGAAATGTAAAGAGACACGACCAATGTCTTAAGCTGTGTAGCGGGCTAAGGGGGTTTGAGAGGACCTCCTCAGTATTCTCTCCTCGGTCCTCCCCAATCTCCTTAGGGCCGAAGTCAGGGTATTCTCTAGTAAAATATCTTGACTAAAGGCACAACGTGAACTCGCCGTTCTGCTCTTTGGGTCCAATCCCAAGGCCTCAATACTAATTATACGTTTTTTACTAATGTTAATTTCTCAATGTTCCTCATTTTTAGCCGAGGAATACCAACAGCGCTGGTGTCCATGTGGTGGTTGTGTAACCACTAAAGAGATGTCATTACATTTCCTCAAACAAAAAGAAACGAACGACAATTCATCAAAACAAAGACCAGCTTGTGTGCTGTATTCCCCTTGGCTCGTCCCAGTCTCAACACAGACACAATGTACACAGGATTACCGTTCAAATTTGGAATATGTTTCATACAGAAGCGAAAAAGTAAGCGAATTATGGTTGCTGTTTTTTTTAATGAAAACATTTAATTAACATTAATAAATTGAATAACTACCTAAAATTTGCCATTTCTTTCTGTGCGAATTTGTTCTTTGTCAAGTTTAGATTGAAATCCGTACCCGGTAGACTGAAACAAATTTCCTTTCTCAGTTGACAGTCAGAACATTAAAGATTCATTGTGCTGCAGCATTCAATGCGGTCGTGTTTTGGATTTGTAAGATGAAGTGACTTAAAGGCTCACGTGATTCAAGAAATCTTTTGATTTTCTCACATACGAAAATTAGCCAAAAATCATTTTGTAGAACAAAAAAAAAAAAAAAAACGATCGCAGAGGTTCTTGGATAGTTATGAGTCTTTGATATCCATTCTCACGATCCTTTCAGGAAGCTAAATGGAAGATACATTATATTACTATTGTATGTATTTTCAATATTTTTTTTATATTTTCAAACATAAACATATTTTCAAACATTATTCCCGTTGACTATGGACTATTCGATGTTGAATACTGTGAAGTTCTGTATCCGGTTATACAAAGTTTTGGTATAGAGGTATCCACTTCCGACCATGGGAACTCATTGATTTTGTGTTGATTTTATGGGGTGGATTAGCGCTATTCATTCTTCTTACAACAGGCTGTCGTATTTTAATGGAGCTTTTGTTTAATTCAGGAACTACGCATGCTCAATGAGTCTCTCCACAGCCTTCAGATGTCTGAAATAGACCTTTATTTGCAAACCCACTTTAGTACAAAAGCTTTGGATGCTATGCAGGGGCTGGACGTCACGCACAGGTAGGAATAATAAGCCAATGGACGAATTGCGTTTATGACAAATTAGATAGTACGAGCGTTCTGATTGTCTTTGTATAGGTACCACGCGTGATATTTATCCCAAATTCCACGTACTAAACACGTTATTATTTGTTTATAAAATGGTTGAATGAAATTGTCCAATTTGAAATACCACTATTAATGATAATACCACTCCTCTAAGCCAATCAAATTGCGCAATTTTATTCAACCATATTATAACAATACACAAGGTAACGCATTTTTCTCGGTCAAAATAGGATTTGAAGTGTAGCATTTCCCAGGCCCTCATCCCTAACCCCAAACCCATGTGCTGGGTGCGATTTCAACCCAAAGCCAATCCAAACACTTTCGGCCCCGTTTGGTCGCGCGATAAAACTGTTCTCAAACGGGAACGGCTTGAGAAATGATTTCGATTGGTATAGTATTTTTGTTTATTATTTATTGCTAATTTTTTGTGTTATTTAGGTCTTTTCCACTCATCTACCGGTCTTTGTGGGGACTTGTATGTTGTGATGGGAAATCGTTCCCGTCCGTTGTACGACACACYGCTGCAGATTAACCTCAGAACAGACGCACATGAAGAATGAAGGTGGCGAGAAGTATTTCATTCGCAACATTTTAAAAATCGGCTAATTCTGTATATTATTATTAATCTCGATCCCGTGTTACAAATGATCCTTAGGAATTAAACCTTTTGGTAAATGACTTGGCATATTTTATTTGTAGACAAAACTATGCTGAAAAAAATCAATTCGAAATTGCGAACGATTTATTACTAACTTMTTAACTACAATTTATCTCTTTATATATTAAAAAATTAATTATACTTGATCGAAATTATTACGGAATACATTCTTCAGTGAACTGGGACTTTTAAATTACACTAGAGTTCGAAAAATCCAGATTTTTTAGAAAGGAAATCGTAAACATCATACCCCGAGTCCTTGTTTGTCTTGGTCAGCGTCAACAACATGAGAAGGCTCTGTCTCGTGATTTTATATCCACAGAGAGCCAATCAGTGTTTAGCACATCTATAATGTATTGTTTTGAGAACCAATCAAATCCAGTAATTMTCAATAGTCAGATTTGTTTTTATACGCTATCCAAAAGGAACACTGGCTCGGCACGGCAAATGCAAGAAACATTGGCAATGATTTTATGGTCATTGAACAAATGGGGTTACTATATTTTTAATAATAGTTTAAAGCTCTGAATATCGAAGTGATGAATATTTGATGATATTTGCACAACACTGCCAAACCAGGATAATCGTGACTGTAAATATTGSCCTCTGATTAGCCAATCAGAATGCTTCCTTCATAAGCCACCTTGTATTTGGATAAGCGCTCTGTATTCACAGGGGGGTGATGAGAGASAATAAATTGTAGCCCTCACACCAAATGAAATCCAGACGGTAAACGACAAATTGTGATTTTGTTGGTAGTTTATGAGGTAGTTTGAGGAAAGATGATATTGTAAGAGTACAAAAAATAAAAACGCGCACCACTGCACCACTTAACACTATTTACTACAAAATAGTGCTAATTGAACAATAGAAAACAACAGAATTAGCATTATTTAGCAKTATTTAGTGGTATTTATGTTGCGCAGTTTTAGTGTTTGTACTGTAAAGGTTTCTAAACTATTTTGATTTTGCTCTTTTGTTTAATGAATATAATGTTTTGTAACATGATGGCTTATCAAGTAGTTTCACAGCACTAGCCCTCCCCCCCCCGGATTTTGAAAACCGCCTTGGTGTGGCTTTCAGGGTGGATTCTGTTCAACTTAAGCACATTTCATTGTATCATTCACAATCTGTGTCAACACACGGCAGGCAAAACTAGCAAACTGACAAGATTAATTACCTAGAAGAAGACGCTGTCACATTTAGTACTTAATTATGTTGTTTGGACTCGTTCTGTCTGTCTTGCTGGCATCTTTAGGCAAATACCTCGCTAAGCGATGGTTCCTTTATCTAATGGTGACAATCATCGGCACAGAAATCGGTCTTCTCGTCAACGCTGTGTCAAAACAAGATAAAGACAAGAATCCTGGTGCTTTGGGTTCTGCAAAACCTCCCAAAAGCCCCGAGAAGGAAGTTGCTGCGGGCGGAAAATGACTGCGCAAGTTAAAACTTCTTCTAAAGTCACTGATGTTGTCTAGAAATGTTGTGTTTACATTGTGGAGTTTTGCACCAGTAGTTCACAAAGGAAAGCATATTTGGAAGACTTTTTTCTGAGCATGTCTGATGCACCTACAAGAACCCTTGTGTAGCATTTCGTTTCATTAGAAATTACAAGGAAAATTGGATTCTTGTTAGCACTAGCACATTATTTCTCTAGTTCACTAACTGTCCGTTGTATAAATGTATTTATCCGTCCTTTGAGTYCATGAAAATCCGACAGAAACTGGAACAGTTCGACCTTTTTTTAKCCATGATTTTGTAAGCGAGAAATTGCTTTTCTTTCAAGAAAATTGTGCGTCTATAAGGAAAGACTTTTCTTCGTGTGTACATTGTAAGGTACGGGATTTACTGGATTTTGTACTTGGAAAGARGTCTGTAGCGAGCGTCGACTCAACAAATCAAAGAAGGGCAGAACTTTTACTGGCTCTTGTACTCGGCCGAAGGCAAGGTCCACAAGTATACGCTCAGTAAACTGTTACTGGTAAACGGCTGAAAACGYCTCTGCCCACATGATCGTATTCAACAGAAGCGTTTACGAAAATAAGCATAAGTGGGCAGAACGTGGAGACAAAAAATACACAAATAGCTGTATAAAATGTTCGTTCATCAGTTGTTTGAGAGCGTATGCGTTTGGACTGGGCCTTTCACTGATGTAGAGCGTCTACTATTCGACGGGGCGTGCAAATCTATCGAAACTTTCTCACTAAAGTACCAAAAGACAAATCAAAGAGGATAAGAACTTTAGGAACTCAATATAGAAGACTGAACTGGCTGGAGAGAATGTTTGAAGTCTTTTCCACGCGTAGACGCTTTCTAATATTGTCTATTATTAGAATCCATCGAATGACACTGAACGGCTAAYCATTTCAGCGATAACGCCTCCCGATGCACACTAAATATGCTCTGTTTATTCGTAAACGCTTCTGTTGACTGCGATCGTGTTGACAGAGACGTTTTTAGTCGTTTACAAGTAACGGTTTACAAGGCGTCTATGTGTGGACGAGGTCTAACTTTCACTGAAAATTGTTTTGAAAACATTGTATGTTTTAAGTTTTGTTATGTACACTAACTGCCATTTGTATAGATTAGAAACATTATATATTTGTAATATTATTGTAAATTAGAAATAAATTCCCCATTTCAATTGAGGAAATAGTTTAATTATATCTTTCTTATATTGATCGAGTGTAAATTTTACATCCAAATGGAAAATATTTTGCTTTGTACCAGCAGGTACTACGACTGGTCTCTGGATGCTGAGGTTGTTGCGGTTGAAGWTAYAGTTTCATAATTACAGACTCTTTTAGCTCACATCGAAATCTTACCATATTTAATTCATAAACAGGACGTTTTTACAGCATTTGTGAAGCGAACTATTTCACACATGCAGTTGTTGTTTCGCGGGAAAACACGAGCGCGTTAATTATACCGGATTTTCCCGCCAAACCTTTCCCGGCATACTGATGCAAAAACGCCTCAAGGCTAGTAGAGTGTGCCTTACTAGATACAGGATTTTTTAATGGAAAACCACAAAAATTTGGTAGTGAAAATATGTAAAGTTTATAAGCCAAAATGCAATAATCGACAACACAGRGATCATTACAAAATTCGAAAAATTCTATTATATTCCAACAATTATTGAAGAATTTCCAGAATTTTCAGTATATGAATGTAGTGTTAAATTGAATCTTAAACTTTCTAAAGCTTTTCCAGTTTATATAGTTTCTCAGTGCAACGAATTACGATTCAAAATGGCGGACACAACGGCCATGAGCTTTTTAGACTTAATAATACCCTACGCAATATTTTTTGTAAAATTCATTTTTATTACATATCACACTCGTTTACTAAAACATCACTGCTATAATCAATAATTTAATGTTCATATAGTGCAATTCAAGATAACTTATTAATAGGCCTTTTGCATGAAACGGTCACATGGTACAAACTCCTCCATACTGGATGTCAAAAGAATGTAAACACCTCAAAAACAAAAGGACCGCAAGGAAGCTTGAATTTTCTTTCTTTTAAAAATCCCATTGGGTATTTTGCCATCCAGTGTGGCAGATTTTGTACCATGTGACCGTTTCATGCAAAAGTCCTTTTCCCTTTGTTGCAGTCTATTTTTATCACCTATTTTAAGATCGTTTACGATTAGCCAATCACGTTCTCCCAATAACTATTGCATCATTCCCGGAGATAAAATTTCTGGCAACCAATAGGAAATCGACTGTCAACAAACTTATTATTCCTACATAAAAATTCATATTAATTACAATGACAGCCGATTGCTCTTTGAATGGAGCTTTCCGTGCATTTCATGTGAATTTAGTATTTGATTTTACTCAGTAAAAAGTTAGGATTATGAAATAGAATGATTTTCCATCTTTAGTGACATTAAAGAAAACAATGGGTTTGAAGTCTATTTCTAACTATTAGCTTTTGCTATTCTACAATCGTTGATAGAATATTATACCTTGGTGCCTTGGACCATATAATGATTTGTCTCCAGCCTTACATTTTTCTCCTTTATTTTTTCACAATTCTACAGTTAACCCCCTTTCATCAATGTTGGGTCTTGTTTTGGTTGTTTGTGTACTATGGCAACGTGCTCAAAGACAAGATTGCATCTAGGGGGTCAGGGGAGATGAAATAGTCTGCTAGTGTTGCTTAAGATAACGACAATCGCTGGAATGGTTAGACTCCTCGCAGCCTTTTTTCGGCGGCGTCTCTTAATCCTCCATTAAAAGACGACACCTGAAAACAGCTGCGAGGAGTTTATTGAATGGTCCAAGGATTTTCTAAACGATCGTATCACGGTCGACGGAAAATCACTCCTTGAGTTTTCATTGCTACGTATGGCTTTCTTAATTCAAATTAATTGATAGTGCTTTGTACAAGGGTTTGGGTCGGCTATGGTACAAGGTATGCATCAGCTAAACTTTGCATCGTAGAATTACTCATTGAAGATAAAGAATCCAGGTAATGGAGAAATCTGTAAAAAAGGAAAATATTAAACGAGTGAGACTTTACAGATTACGATATAGTGCTTATTTATGAGATAGATACTGAGATAGATATTTTACTAAAATTTACATTTATGAAATACTAGGTTTTTCGGATGTCGAAATCATGGTATTTTCACAACTGGAAGATATATCTTTCGTAATGTGACGATATCGCTATTGCCATAGAAACATTAACTCTGCATGCTATTCTTAGAAATTTTTGAGTTTCTTCCGTTATTTTAGTTTCAACGATACATGTATATCTATATAATAGATGCAACACTTGAAACAAATTTTACCAGTTGAAAACTCGGAAATAAAATTCGTATCTCCGCTCTCTCACATGTAATCGACTTCTCAATTTTTCGACTTAAACTGTTTTTCTTAAGCGTCGGGCTAAATGCGGTAATAGTACTCCTATGCTGCACTAGCACTATCGCGTCACCTGGTCGACTTTCCACGTGGGAAAAGAAATATTTTAGAATTATAGAATGCTGAACCTTTTACGTCACTACTTGATTTTCAATGCATTGCGTGATCTGTTTTTTTTTTTTTTAATTATTGCGAATGTTACTTATCTTCATACATTAAAATAATTTTGATGCTATACTGACTAGGGGCAGAAATTAGTTAAAAAAAAAACTTTAAAAAGGAATTTAGCACCCATTTTGCACTAATTTAGTTTTTGAATGATTAAGATTTCATTCTTGTTCATAGGGGAACCTCCCCTAGCCCTTTTGAGTCATTGCTAATGAAACTTTGATAACTTCGGAGAATAAAATTCACATATTCATATTTGATGACGACAACCGTCATAAGTTTTAATCCCAAAAAATCCATCAGAAAATCACAAATAGTCAAATGCATATAATTTTGATAGACTGCATGGGGGCCATTCGAACAATGCTGTCGAAATCTGTCTATTTTACTTATATATTACTTATCTATTAAGTCATTAAGGTGAGATATGCCTATAGGAAGCCCTAAAAACTATATTTTTTTCCAATTGACACTGCCTTTAAAAATTCTTCATTTTAAGTCTAAATCACTGCCAAAAACACTTATTTTAGACCTCTGAAGCTTTTACGTCATACACTCTGTGCAATACATTGTAAAATATGTTTGGGACAAAATATGCCGTATAATTATTATTATTTTCTCCAGAAAGTGATCCCACAATGCATTGCAAGTGGGTAACGTTAAACCTTCAGAAGTTGATTTTGACTATTAGAAAAACTATTATACACACAGTCCCAATAAACTACCCTTGCATGGTAGACTACAAAATGGCTAAACACCTGCTAAAAGCAGGACCACAATACTAAGAATGTTGTAATATTTGAAAAACGTTTTCTGTGCTTCCAATTTAGGGAATTGTCAAACTTCTTCCCTATACTGGTCTAGCGGTTATATTTCCTTAATATTTGTTTATTTTGGAAGATAGAGCAAAAACCATGAAATATAATCAAACTAAATACTAACAAATAGCGGCTATTTATAGACAAATTRTCAGTATCAATGAACCAGAACGCAATAAAGATGAATGAAAAATGGTACCATGCGGATTCATCTTCATTGTGTTCTGGTTCATTGATACTGACAAATTGTCTCTAAATAGCCGCTATTTGTTAGTATTTAGTTTGATTTTATTTCAGGGTTTTGCTGCATTTGCTCTAGTGTGATAACATTAAATTCCATAAACATTAAAATAGATTCTACACCTAATAGTTTTCATTCAGTAATTATCGTGTAGTAATTATATAGGTTTTG